TAGCTGGAATTACAGGCATGTGCCATGACACCCAGCTAATTTTGTAATTTTAGTAGAGACGGGGCTCCTCCATGTTGGTCAGGCTGGTCTTGAACTCCCAACTTCAGGTGATCTGCCCACCTCAGCTTCCCAAAGTGCTGGGATTACAGGCGTGAACCACTGCACCAAGCCTGAGAATATTGATTTGATATTATAAGTGTTAAAAACACTCAAGTAAAAGAATTTATATTTCAAACTATGTTAAAAATATTCTCCCTCCTTGATAGCCTGAGGTTTTAAAATTTCATAAAATGACAATTAGGTACATAAAACATAATAACTATCATGCTGTGGTTTGAATGCGTCCCCTTCCAAAGTTCATGTGCTGGAAGCTTAATGCCCAATGCCACAGTGGCAGGACGTATGGCCTTTGGGAGGTGTTCAGGTACTGAAAGCCTTGCCATCATAGATGGATTAATGTTGCTATAAAAAGGGCTTGCAAGAGTAGGTTCTCTCTCTTCTGCACTTCTGCCACTTGACTACATGATGTTCCTCCCCGCAAGAGGATGCACCATTCAAGGTACCATCCTGAAGCAGAGAGACCCGGCTCTAACTTGCTGGCATCTTGTTCTTGGACTTCCCAGCCTTCAGAACTGTGAGAAATAAATTTCTGCTCTTTATAAAGCACCTGGCCTCAGGTATTCTATAGCATCAAAAAGAAGCAGACTGAGGTGTGTCGTGAGCATTTTAAAGAGAAGTAAACATGGTAAATCTAGAATTTGGAGAGAGAAGACTGCTACTCACTAGTGATGTGAACTTGGATGAGTTACTAGCTTTCATTGAATGAGACAGTAGTTTAATAGCTTACACACCTGCCTCCTTGTCTTTATTTTTATAGAAAATCACATAGGTTAGGATGTTTGTGATGGAGCTTGTAAAATTATAACCTGCTCATCACATTTGGGGTGTCATTGGTATATAATTTCAATCTCAGGACTCATAGAAACCTTCTTTTATTTGAGATGGAGTCTCACTGTGTCACCCATGCTGGAGTTCAGTGGTGCAGTCGCGGCTCACTGCAACCTCCGCCTCCTGGGTTCAAGCAAATCTCATGCCTCAGCCTCCTGAGTAGCTGGGATTACAGGCGCCCACACCATGCCTGGCTAAGTTTTTTTTTTTTTTTGTATTTTTGGTAGAGACAGGGTTTTGTCATGTTGGCCAGGCTGGTCTCAAGAAAACCTTCTATTTTTGATCTGTTCCTTATGAAGTATTACTTCAGCCAGATGAAATTTAGCAGAGGTCTTGTAATTCCAGGACCTCAGGGGTTAGGGGTAGGGGAAATAGCTGCAAAGTCTCTAAAGCTTCTAGATGTGCCCCTTTCAAAGGATCCCCAAGGAAATGGGGCATTCAGGTGATTTTCGGAAGATTTCAGCCGTAATGTTTTAGTTTACTTTTGTTCCCCTTATTTCCTCCTGTCCCTTGAGAGGATTCCAACCACTCAGACTAAAAACAAGGATTTTGAAAGGGAAGAAACAATATGTACTTACTCCTTGGACCTTTGAATTTGGGAGAAAATTTTTCAAAAACCAGAAAGTCTTGTTTTGTGAGTCCATGGACTTGCAAAATCTTAGAGAGTTTTTTCTTTCTTTTCTGTCTTTTTTTTTTTTTTTTGAGAAGGAGAAGCCTATAAACACCATAGAATACATTGTTCCACTAGTTTAAAAAATTAAGAAATGCTAGACACTTAGGTTGATTCCATATTTTGGCTATTGTGGTAGTGCTTCAGTTAACATGGAAATGCAGATATATTCAACATACTTATTTAATTTCTTTTGTCTGTTTAACCCCAGAGTGGGACTGTTGGATCATACGGTAGTTCTATTTTTGATTTTTTGAGAAACCTCCATACTGTTTTTCATAATGGCTGTATCAATTTACATTCCCATCAGTAGTGTGTAAATGTTCCCTTTTCCCCACATCCACACCAGCCCTTGTTATTTTCTAATTGGAATAAAGTGATGTTTCACTGTGGCTTTGATTTGGATTTCACTGGTGATTAGTGATGTTGAGCATTTTTTCATTTACCTGTTGGTCATTTGTATGTCTTCTTTTGAAGACAAACAGACTTATCAATGGATGAATGGATTTTTAAAATATGATATATATAAACAATGGAATAGTACTTAGCTATAGAAATGAATACAATCCTGTCATTTGTGGCATCATGGATGAGCCCGAAGGACTTTATGTTAATGGAAATAAGCCAGGCACAGAGAGACAAATATTGCATGGTCTCACTCGTTTGTGCAGTGTAAAAATGCTGATCTCGCAGAAGTACAGAGTAGAATAGTGGTTACCAGAGGCTGGGGACAGTAGCGGGGAGGAGATTATGGGGAGATATTTGTCAAAGGTACACAATTAGAGTTAGGTAAGAGGAATAAGTTCTGATGTTCTGTAACACAGTAGGGCACCCACAGTAAACAATATTATGGCTTATAAATATTATACTGTGTTAAAAGTAACTAGAAGAGAGGATTCTTAATGGTCTCACCACAAATAAATGATAAATGTTTGAACTGATAGACATGCTGAATACCATGATTTGATAATTACACAATGTATATGTGTATTGAAACATCACATTATACCTCATACATATGTTCGATTATTATGCATCAGTTAAAACAAAAATAAAAAATAAATATAAACTATATATATTCACAAAATTGAATACTAAACTTTTATAAAAATGAAAAAATGCTATTCTAAACAAATAAATGAATAAATTATCTTGAGAGAAGTAAATAGTCTGTGCCTTAATATTCAATTGGTATGTTCTCCATACTCTATAACCACAGACGTTCTAAGAAGGTATTCATTATCCTTTGATATTAAAACTAAGAAACTATTAATAGAACATTACTTAAAGCTTAGGATGCTGTACCTATAACCATAGGACAGCATAAAACCAAGTATAGAGACAATAAAGACTTGAATTAAATCAATGGTGGTGATATTTGAGAGTAGACTCAAGTGTGAATGTAGTAAGAGTTTTCGTAGTGATGGTTTACATGTCATTTTGTCTACTGTTTACAGTGTTTAGCGTGATAAAAGGAAGCATTCATACTAGATTGGAAACTATAATTTGAATTGGTTAAGAAAATGGAATTTAGTTTTTAATCAATCTTTGTTGAATGAAAATCAGTCATCAGGTTTCATTTATTGGAGATATATATATAGAGAGAGAGAGTTAAATTTTGAACATTAAATAATAAAAAAGAAAAGGTTTGCTGCTCCAGAACAGACCCACATTTGTTTTAAATTTTTTATTGTAAAAGCTTTAGCTCCTCAGAAAGTTAAAAATCCTATTGATATTTGATTCATGGGCTTGTATAAGCCAAACTGAGAATATCCTGCCCATCATACCTGTGGCTAAAGAGAACATACAGAATCATATCTGTGGCTAAACAGAACACTGATTATAATCATCAGCAGATTTTTAAAGTCACTTGAGAGTACCTTCCTTCCATTGAATCTCTGAACTTTCTATTTTTTTCCCCAAGATTTTCTTATGAAATATAAGTGGCAATTTGTTTTAAATGAAACGGCCATATTTTACCTTCATGCTTTCAGTCTCACTCTGAGGGTTGGCAGGTTGATGCATGCATCCTGCTCAGTTGATACCTTGCACTGAACAAGAGGAAAGGGTTTCAGTTCTGGACTCTGGAATCTAGTGGTCTGATTCAACATGACCTGCTCCCTCTTAGGAATTGTGTGACTTGGACCCGTTACTTAGGTTCTCTGTGCATCTGTTGTCCTGTTCTTAAAAATGGAAAGAAATTGAGGATAAAATGGGACAGTGTATGTGAAGGGCTGAATCCAGTTCCTGGCACATGGTAAGCACCTAATGAATGGGAGTTATTATTAATCATCCATGCGAAGGAACTCATTTCCCCCTGATTTACACATAAGAGTATTCAAAAATTCATCTAGACACTGAGTTCCAAGCAAATTAGTAAGCTTCAACTTCAACAAATCAATACAGAGATTTCAGGTATATGTGATGTAGATTCCATTTCATTACATGCACGGAGGGTCAGCTAGGTCTCAGCATGGCCCTAGGCAAGACGAGACCAATAGTTAAAAGGAGAGAGGTAATTTTCTTTTCTTTTTTTTGAGATGGAGTCTTGCTCTCTGTTGCCTAGGCTTCAGAGCAGTGGTACAATCTAGGCTCACTGCAACCTCCATCCTGGGTTCAAGCAATTCTCCTGCCTCAGGCTCCCAGGTAGCTTTGACTACAGGTGTGCACCACCACACCTGGCTAATTTTTGTATTTTTTATTAGAGATGGGGTTTCACCACATTGGCCAGGCTGGTCTTGAACTCCTGACCTCAGGTGATCCACCCGCCTCAGCCTCCCAAAGTGCTGGGATTATAGGCATGAGCCACCATGCCTGGCCAAAAAGAGAGAGAGATAATTTTCTAAATCAGCCTCATATAGCCTCTATCATTTGAAAAGAATTCTACTATTTCTTTTCTCTTAAGCATTACCCTATCACGAACCCTAAGCAGAACAAACAGATCTAACAAATGTCGGGATTCTGACAACAAATGCTCATCACTCATCATTATTTCTCATCTGTTTTCTCATGTGTCTATTCTTGCATCACACATTTCCAGCACATGTTGTGGGCATGGCCTTTGAGGTGACAACACTGGGGTTGGGGAGGAAGGGGAATGTGGAAGGGATGGCATTTATGAAGTTATCAAGAGATCTAATAGTGGCTCTGACCGAGGAACTCCTGCCGAAATTCATGTCAGCATCCCTACAAATGACCAAAGACTCAAACATTCCCATGGAACTGTGAGACAAGACAAAAGAATAAAGCCGGTTTCCCCAGACCCAGCAAACGTGGGATTTTCCACTAGCACATTGGCATGCAGGCAGTTCATGGAATACAGTCCTTCTAGATGTGAATCTGAAGCTCTGAACCACTGTTTGCCCTGTCACCTTTCTTGTAGGCATACGATGGCTCAAGCTCCACAATGTCCCGCCTTGCCAGGACGTGTGGAAGGGAGCAGCTGGCTAACCCCATCGTGTCCTCAGGAAACAGCCTCTTCGTGAGATTTCTATCTGGCCTTTCCAGACAGAACAGAGGCTTCCGAGCTCAATTCAGGCAAGGCAAGTACCCTGCGGTTCTTCCCAAGCACAAGAGAAATCTTCAGTGCTCTGTTTGGTGCAACAGTGAAATGAGACCTGTGCTCAGAAATTGATCACAGCCTTCTACTTAACATGTAAAAAATTAAATAGAACAAAAGAGCTGTGACTTACATTTATCCCAACTCCTGATGCTTGAAACCTTCTCCTTCTCTGACTTCCTTTGGACCTGCATCTCTAACAAGTTTTCAGAATAATACTGTTTAAAAGTGCTTTTAAGACTAGAAACAGTATAGAAAAGCTTTTATCCAAATTCACTGATCTAGCACTACCCAAGGCTTTACACTACAATGGGATACACTGCTATCAATTACGAGACTTGCTTGTAATGTAATCAGATTCCAGCCCCCGGAAGCAGTGGTTTCCCTCATTTCTGAGTCCTGCCATTGTCCAACTGAGGAGTCACTGTTGTTTTCCATTTATTTTTCTTTGTTCCCTCCCTTCCTCCCCCGCTACCCTCCTCTTCCTTTTCCTCTTCTTCCCTTCCTTTTCCCCCTCTCTTTCCCTCCCCTTCCCTTTCTTTCCACAGGGTCTCACTCTGTCACCCAGGCTGGAGTGCAGTGGTGCAATCACGACTCACTGAAGCCTCAACCTCCCAGGCTTAGGCAATCCTCCCACCTCAGCCTCCCAAGTAGCTGGGACTATAGGTGCACCCCCATACCTGGCTGTTTTTTTTTTTAGAGATGGGATCTTGCTCTGTTGCCCAGGCTGGTCTCAAACTTCTGGCCTCAAGTGATTCTCCTGTCTTAGCCTCCCAAAGTGCTAGAATTACAGGCATGAGCCACTGCACCTGGCCATTGTTTTTGTTCTTAAATCACCACTTCTCCAAGACCTTTTTATCCATTGCCTTTCATCTGCTCATTCTGAGAGATGAACCCCTTATCCCATCAGAGATGACTTGTATTCAGATGATTCAGAACATTCATTACAAATACATTTAGTCTGTGTAGTCGTTATGTCTATCTTAGTCAACTCACTTATATTCTGTAGTAAAGAGCTCTGGATAGGGACAGTGCCTGGATCGAGGTCTCCCAAATACATACCATAGACCTTTAGACTTTGGAGCAAGACAGACCATATTCTTGTTGATTTTAAAGAAAAACTAGTTTCCTAATAGTTCTTTTGCATGTTATTATTCACTTGTATGTTGTTTCATAGTAAAAAGTCCCTGCTAGCTTTCATCTGGACTATGACAACCTCCTCAAAGTCACCTACCCTTACCCCATCTCTCTCCAAAGTCACCTGTAAAAGCCCTGCTCTGATCATGCCATTGGAATGTTCAGTGTGTGTCCTGTCTCCACCTGGCCTGGAGAATGAAGCTCAAGCTCCTGCAGATGTTAACCAAGGGCCCCAGAACCGCCCTGACCTCTCTCCAGCGTCAGTCACCCACATCCCTCGGGCACCCCACGCTCCAGCTGAGCCTGTATAGATGCAGTCCTTACCCTCCTCTGTGTCTGCTCAGGCGGTCCCCTCCCTGGCCTCCCTTTTCTCACCCTCCAAGTCCTAGTTTAGCCTCAGCCTCCCCCTCAGCGAGACCTCTTACGCCCTCCAGCGGTGACCGCCTCTCCCTCTTCAGGACTCACATGGAATTTTACTCTTCTCTGATAATCTGCAGTCATCCTTAGGAAGCCTTGTTCAATTGAGTGTTTATTTTCCTGAAAAAAAAAGAGGTCATGTATAAGTAGATTATCCCTATACCTGTGGTTTATGAGTGGGCCGTGTAAGTGAATCCATGTAAGAATTTTGTTTGAATGACTTAGGCAATTCATAGCCATTTAATCTGTTGCTTTCTGCCACTTCCTACTTCCTGTAGTTGAAGAATAATTGTTAAAAATATAAACTGTATAAAATATAAACTCATGGTTTATGTGCAGCTCTCCTTACGGAGAACTTTCTTGGTATGCATTTTAGAAATAAGAAGAAAAATCACTGATGGTTTTATTCAGCACATAATTGTTTCGTACGGTCAGCAGAAATGAAAAGCATATGACATGTATGTGTGTTTGTGTGTTCCCCAGCCTGCGGAGGCCACATCCTCACCAGCTCATTTGATACTGTTTCCTCTCCACGGTTCCCTGCCAATTATCCAAACAATCAGAACTGCAGCTGGATCATTCAAGCGCAACCTCCATGTAAGTAAAAAAATAAAAAAGAAAAGGCATGCAGGAGAGAAGGTGCCTGTGGGAAGGTCAGTCTATGGGTAACCTTCTTATCTCAGTGCTAACAATCGATGGCCTTCCTCTTCATCTTTTGCAAGTCCCGATTCCTGATGTGCTCAAGAACAAGCATTTCCTAATCTGATAGGGAAGTCATTTTTACAGTTGCTTCTAAATTTAAAAACAATTTTTTTTTTCATTTCAAGGCCTAGCAAAGGTTAAAAACACACACACACAACAACAACACAACACACCTACAACCTTGCTGTATTAACAGGCATATGCAGGCATGTGAGATTGGGGGTAAACCAAAATAATCGATAAATAGTGTTTGACATGTGTGCCTTGAGTGTAGCTGATGCCCAAGACAGTTGCTGAGTGAACAAATGAAGAAGAGCCACAGACTGGAGAATCAGTGACTCACGGGCCAGAATGCAATGCACACGCCTATCCATCAAAGCAGACATTCATAAAACCTGGGCTCTCCTGCAAGGTACTATTCCAGCACAGGCCTAGAATAAACATTGAATAAACGCTTACTTTCTTTTCTTTCTTGGAACCCTAGAATCTTATTTTCTGACCGGGTAACAGTCCGTTGGTAAGACAGAAAGAGAACATCAGGAAATGCCCCTAAAGGACATGACAGAATAGCTGCAAAGCAGGTGATGCTTGGGGCCCTTCTGAATCCTGTTTCAGGGGAGCCCTGCCCTCCTTTGAGGTTTGCAGGAAAATACGGTTTCAGGCATAATGTAGGAAAGACTTTAAGTTCTTCACTCTACACAGCAATTAATCGCCTGTGTGAAAATAGGGAAGTCACTTAAGCTTATCAGGCCATGAAAAAATAATCTGCAAAATGAAGAGTCTGGCTTAAATATTCTCTAGCACTTTCCCTTGGTATGTCAGGAGTTAACAAATTGCTGGTATCTTTATTGACATGCATAAGATGTGGAGGCCGATGATGTAATCCTTAGCCAATTCAAACGGGAAGGTGGAGCCCCAAAGAAAGTTGCCAGCCAGCCAGAAACTGAGCTGTAGATAAAGAAGCCCCCTCCCTTGAACAGAGCCGTTTGTGCCTGAGGATTATTTTCTAATGAGTTGTAAAGCATTTAGATGAAAGATCTCACTAGTTCAAGAACAGCAATAGGAAAAGATCCTGTTCCGAAGATTAGAGAGCTTGAAGAACAACAAAAAGAAAATGTATGCAGGGGCTTGCTGTTCTGCAAAGCTTTCTTGATAAATGTCTCTGAACCTTAGGGCACTAGCTCTAGCCTGAAAATAAAACTAAGTGAGCTAAAATGTGACAGCCAGGGAGAAAAGAATGCATTATTTGCAAGCACATGCAAAGAAGCCGAATTTAAGGAAATGAATCTATTGAGAAAAATGCTTATCAGAGAAACACAGCAATGGTGATATAAAAACTGGAAAGATGGCATTTTCCAACAAGATACTCCCTTATAGTGCCTAGAATGAACCTACCCAGGAGTCCTCTTATTTACCACTACCAGCGTTTCAGATGCCACAGGCACTTTGGAAAGCATCTATTCTGTTATTCTTCAAAGGAAACCATCTAGCATAGAAGTTATTCCCTTCCCTCCCTTTATCCCTTCAACCATGTGCAAATCTGCCTCATTCATTACTTCTCTGCTGGAGAACCCTTACATGAAATTGTCAGAAGTAAATTTATCTCCCTGTATGTTTTTTAATTTTAATTTTATTTTGTAAAAATTTTTATCTTTAATGTTTGTGAATACATAGTAGATATATATAGTTATGGGGTACCTAAGATGTTTGGATGTAGGCATGCAATGTGCAATAATCCCATCATGGAGAATGGGGTCTCTATCCCTTCAAGCATTTATCCTTTGCATTACAAATAATCCAATTATACTCTTTTAATTATTTTTAAATGTACAGTAAGTTATTATCGACTACAATTACCCTGTTGTGCTATCAGATAGGTCTTACTCATTCCTTCTATTTTTATACTCATTAACCATCCCCACCTCCCCATCTTGCCCCATCTCCCTGTATGTTTTATTTGCCAGTACTGTATTAGAGAATCTTCTCTTTTTTCTTCCAGTAAATCATATCACCCTCTCTTTTACCCACTTTGAACTTGAAAGAAGCACAACGTGCACACGTGACTTTGTAGAAATTTTGGACGGCAACCACGAAGACGCACCCCTCCGAGGTACCTCGGCGCTCACTCATATACATCTGTGGTCTTGGCTGTGCTTTATTTATAGATCTACATATTTATAGGCTGCCGTTCTAGGTTAGAATGTTTCCAATAAATAGAAAGAGCAGCCTAAGCCAAGTAAAGATGATTAGAGGGTAAGAAAGTAGGCTTGAATGTGAGGTTCAGGGAACTCAGCCTGTTGATTAATATATTCAAACATGTGAATAGTTTGTGTATATGTTTTAAAAGATTTAAAAATTGCAGCTGCTTTAAAGAGTAGTGGAATGCAGCCCATCCCAGCATTACAGAGCATTCTGTCAGAAATTTCTTGTTAATATTTGACCAAGTTCGTACATTCAAATGGAGCATGTTTCTTTCAGCCTTGTCCTTAGTGGAAGCAAAAAAACCCAAAAAACAAAAAACAAAAACCCACTTAATTAGTTAATTAATTAATTAATTCCATTAAAAATCTGTCATTTGTTTGTTAGACTTCCCAATAAAATTAAAGAGTGCCACTCTCTAGTTTCTAAAATATTCTCAGCCAAAAAAACAAAACAAAACAAAACAAAACCACCTCAGGCCATTTAAGCTTTCTCCATAAACTTCCTAACTTTTGAATTTTGTTGTAAAAACCTCTCGTCCTGCACTAGAAGACAAGGTCTGTCAGGAAGGAGACTGCTTTGCCTGTTGCCTAATTCCCAGTGCCCAGGACAGTGTCTGAGACAAAAGCGAGCAGTCAATGAACTCTCCACACCCTCTCCACACCTCTCACAGCATCGCCGAGGTCTTTGTTAGTAAGCATTTGACAAGCATAAGGACATATTATTTAACAAACTGTTACATTGCAATACCTTGTGCTGAGTACTGTTCTCAGTATGTTAGAAATAATAAGTCCATCCTTTTAACCTTATGAAATAGGTTTCATTACTTTCAATATGCCCCTTTTCTCCAAGTGGGGAAACTGAGGCACCAAGCACTTCAGTAACTTGCCTAGGATCACACAGCTAGCAAATGACTGAGCCAGGAGCTGAATCCAGGTAGCCTGGCTCCAGCATCCACACTTTCCTGTGCTACAACATATTGAATATTAGTGCATGTATTTGTACGGGTCCAACTGGGCTGGAGATTTTTGCTTTAGGTACATGTGTCCCTTGGTCGTCTAAGTTTTTCCTCTGGTCCTATTGTTCTTGATCATGTTTATAAATCACCTCTCCTATGTATAGCTCCTATATATAGTTTATTTTAAATGATCAGGTATTGTCTCAAACACTGACCCTGAATGAAGTGGTTCTCCTAGTGGCAATTTCTTCCCTTTGTTTTGGTCTCCTGTAATTCTAGTAAAGATGTATTTCCTAGAAATAGTGGCCTCTGCCATGTCGTCATTCATTCTCCTTGTTGTTATCTTCATTATCTAGGCCGTTACTGTGGCACTGACATGCCCCATCCTATCACATCCTTCAGCAGCGCCCTGACGCTGAGGTTCGTCTCTGATTATAGCTTGAGTGCTGGGGGTTTCCACGCTATGGTCACTGCATCAGTGTCGGGTAAGAAACCTTAGCACCTGGCTCCAGCGGTTAACAGGGATGTGGTAGAAATTCTTGGTTTGTTATTTGGGACTCTTTGACCTTCGTAGTTGGGAGCTAATTTCCTGAGATCACCTCTGGACCAAATCTTACCTTCTTCCCAATTAAGTGAACCTGTTGTCAGTTCTAACAATAATGAACTCTGAAAGTGTGGACAATTGGTTGGAAATGTGGCTGTCTTTTCAGCTACACCCCACGCTCTCAGATGACTTGATGTTCTTTTGTTTGTTTTGTTTTGTTTTTGAGATGGAGTCTCACTCTGTCGCCCAGACTGGAGTATAATGGCACAGTCTTGGCTCACTGCAACCTCCACCTCCTGGGTTCAAGCGATTCTCCTGCCTCAGTCTCCTGAGTAGCTGGGATTACAGGCACCTGCCACCACACCTTGCTAATTTTTGTATTTTTAGTCGAGACGAGGTTTCCCTATGTTGGCCAGACTGGTCTCGAACTCCTGACCTCGTGATCTACCAGCCTTGGCCTCCCAAAGTGCTGGGATTACAGGTGTGAGCCACTGCGCTCACCCTGGTGTTCTTTTTGGCTTGTTAAGGCAGCCCCAACCTGGGGAGGAGAGGAACGGGGAGCTGCCCAGGACTGGGTTTCTTAGCCTGTTAGCCGGAAGAGTGCTGCTGGTCACTGCCATCTTCCTTGTTATTAGTAGTTAAAAGCTACAGAACACCTAGAAGATGGTGAATGCATTTCAGTGCTCTACTGAGAGGGAAAAGCAAGCATGCTGCCCTGGGTTCTAGGCCAGGGTTGAATAGAATCCTGGTCACAAAAGTCAAGTGGCTGTAGGATAGTAAACAAGTCTTTTATTCTTCAAAGTTACCATTCACAGGTAGAAAAGGCTTTGAGAAAAGACATTGCAGAAATTCCTTCTAATCCACCACACTGCTTGGCCCTTGGTCTTCAGTTTGCAGAATCATTCCCTCCTTATTTTATATGACATGATGTTTTAAAATGCGAGATGGACATGTTGTCTATTCTTTTACATCGATATGGCTCTAGCATTCTTTCTCCTTTATTTTATAGTGTCTGATGCAGTCTTTGCTGTGATACTCACTTTATTTCTGTTTTCTTCCAGCTTGTGGTGGAACGTTCTACGTGGCTGAAGGCATCTTCAACAGCCCTGGCTACCCAGACGTTTATCCCGCTAATGTGGAATGTGTCTGGAACATCGTCAGTTCCCCTGGCAACCGACTCCAGCTGTCTTTTATGTAAATCCTTTTTATGGTGTATTGTTTCAGTGCTAATGAATCTGTAGGAAAGAAGTCCTGGTGCTAATAAGATGGGCAACTTACAGTGTATGTGAAATTTAGGAAGTATTTTTCCAAATTTCCTCTATTTCAGTCATAGTTTGAGTTATAAATAGCATGAAGATTCTGTCGACCATGGTTCTTGAGTCCTGTCTAACATTCCCAAAAGAACATTCTTGAGCCCTTGGCAAATGAATCTGTGGCCCATTCATGTTCAGAGTACAGGAATCTTATCTTTTTTTGGAATTAGACACATGTAGGTCCTTCCAGAGAATCACTAGTATTGTTTATTCCAGCAGAGCCCTCCCATCTCAATTAAGCATTCTTTACGCTTATATCTTATCCCACCTCAATCCACCTTTCCTTCTATTTCTATCAGAAGAATGGTTCTGGGGCCAGGTGCAGTCACTCATGCCTGTAATCTCAGCACTTTCGGAGGCTGAGGTAGGCAGATCACTTGAGGTCAAGAGTTCGAGACCAGCCTGGCCAACATGGCAAAACCCCTCCTCTACTAAAAATACAAAAATTAGCCGGGAGTGGTGGCAGGCACCTGTAATCCCAGCTGCTTGGGAGGCTGAGGTGGGAGAATCCCCTGAACTTGGGAGGTGGAGGTTGCAGTGAGCCGAGACTGAGCCACTGCGTTCCAGCCTGGGCAACAGAGTGAGACTCCATCTTGAAAAAAAAAGAAAAAAGAATGGTTTTGGAAGTTTTTTAACTTCCAAACTTAAACTTACTTAAACTTTAAACTTGATTTTTTAGAACACTTTCATATTCCTCATTGCACTATAACACTTTTTGAACAGGGACTATAAACATGGAATTAGTAGTAGGATCCTATAACATTCTGAGTGGTCTTAGATTAAATTAGACAGCAACAATAATATCTCTTAGAGTAGATGTAAAAAGCACACATTTTAATCAACTAATGGAGAGGTATATGTGACATGTCACATGATAATGGATGCTTATTATATGTTGAGAGATAAGATCTTGGAATTTAAATTGCCGTTTTGAATTAGAAGTTATTTACCAGTCTGTGTTACATATTACTAGGCTGTGGTTGGGACTGCTAATTCTGTTTTGAAGAGAATATAAGTAACTTATTGTTGAGAGAGGAGGATTGTTTTGAGGACCCTGGCCTGTTTATTTAAAAGTCTTACTTTTCTTCCAAGACTTGCTAATCTGTGCATCTGGAACTGATTAAAAATATGGGACAACCATCCTATTTGTGGACCAAGTTCAAACATCTCAAGTTGCTTTTTTTGAATCCATCAATCAGACAGAGCCTCTTCAGGGTACAAGTGGCCTTGTGTTAGGACAAAGACACCCTCTGCGTGCTGAAAGGCAATGCAAGTTTAAGCTGCCTCACAGGAAGGAGGTTTTGGTTTGTCTTTTTTTTTTTTTTTTTTTTTTTTGGAGACAGTCTGGCTTTGTTGCCCAGGCTGGAGTGCAGTGGAATGATCTCAGCTCACTGCAACCTCTGCCTCCCGGGTTTAAGCTATTCTCCTGCCTCAGCCTCCTGAGTAGCTGGGATTACAGGCATATGCCACCATGCCAAGCTAGTTTTTATATTTTTAGTAGTGATGGGATTTCACTATGTTGGCCAGGCTGGTCTCGAACTCCTGACCTCAAGTAATTCACCCACCTTGGCCTCCCAAAGTGCTGGGATTACAGGCATGAGCCACACACCTGGCTTGGTTTGTCTTCGTCTTCACTAAGAGCACAGAATTCTGGATGGGAAGAAATCTATATACTTTATAATGTTTACCAGACATATATTTATTCCTTTACTCAACAGATATTTATTAAGCTCCTAATACGTGCTAGGCATGTAGTTGGCTCATGCTACTCTCCTATGAGGTGCTTTCTATATATTGATCAATAAAACACCATCATTGTCCTTAGAATAAAATTCAAAGCCCTTCGCACAGCTTTAGAAGGCTTATCAGAATTGCCACATAAAATGATTTTTTTTGGTCTTTTCCTCTGTGTGTCTACCACATTCACGTTGTTGACCGCTCTCATTCAGCGGTTGCCAGGAACTGAGCTAGGTGTTCAAGACAGATAAGATTTCGGGTCTTGACAAATTACTCATAAACCAACATTAAGAAGCTGTTTAATTAAATTCATTTTATTTCTGTGGGATAATAATAACAAGTTTCTATAAACAAATTTATAGTAATTTCAAATTTCTAGAACTGTGAAGATAAAGAAGATGTCAAATTTAAAGCGCATACCACACAGCTGGTGCTTAGCAAATGTTCAGTGACTTAATTCTCTCAATCTTTACAATTTCTGAAGCATCTTCTGTGATGGTTCACAAATAAATCCAAATGGGCAGCACTAGGCTCTCCTTCCAGAGGGTGGGAGATTATACACACAAAAAGCAAGTTTCATCTATTTTAGTGCTTAATAGACATTACATTTTAATTACCATATAGAAAATCATAATGGCTCAGCTATTTCCTTTCTTGCCTGTAAGAAGTTAATTTTGATTACTCTGACTTACTAGCTTGAGTTTTATTTTTTAAACGGATTTTTTAGACTGCAAGATGCCTCTTTTTTTGCAGTTGATTAATGAGAAGGCAAGGCCTGTGAGTTATTTCTTCCCTGGTCTAAATTCTGTCCAGATGGGTGCTTGGAAACATTACCCTGGGGTGTGTGAGAGCATATGAGAAGCATATGTATCACATCAAGTTCTAAAACATGGGGCTGGGATTGTGGTGAAACTGAGTAGGGAAGAGGACTGGAGAAATTATGGTTGAATCTGCAACAAAAAGGAACGGGGAGAAATAAAACCTAAAAAGGAGTTTTTTTGTAAAACATATATTTAACCATTTATTACCCATAATATGACTAACAATGTGAAATATGCTAAAATTGTTTTCTTCTGCTTCTCAGAACACAGAAAGGGAAGAAAGGGAGATCGTTTTCCTCAGAAGGTAAATTACATGCAGCTGCCTCTAAAATCTTTCTATTCAAAGTGCAGTGCAATCTTTCTGACCAGTTAGTTCACCCCTGCGGTTTGGTAGGCAGGGAATTGACAGAAATTGTATTTTATGCTTGCGGAGTGCTTTTAGAAAGTGATTGGTCTCGGTTCAAGAATCAGAATGAGATAATAAGAAACAGTGATTGTACTATTTTTGTTCCACATACTACATTTACTAACAGATCTAAGCCAAAGGGTAGAATTGCTTATAAAATGTAGCAGCCTAAAGCAAAGACTTCCAAGAATAATCAAGCTTTTTTAAAGTTTAATTTAATCCTTATAGGTTTTTCCCTACCACCATGTCCAATGGAATGTCTTTTCTGCCATCTAGCACTGGATTACACTAGTCAAGTACGTAGAAAAGATCTTCACTTTGTAATCTTCTGGAGCATCGGACAGAATGCTAATGTGCATGTTGATCACCTAGGATCTTGCTGAAATTCATTTTCTCACTGAGCTGGTTGGTGGGGCCAGATTGCTTGTTTCAAACAAGCTCTCCAGTGATGCTGATGTTGCTGAACTATGCACTGCACTTTGAATAGAAAGATTTTAGAGGCAGCTGCATGTAATTTACCTTCTGAGGAAAATGATCTCCCTTTCTTCCCTTTCTGCGTTCTGAGAAGCAGAAGAAAACAATTTTAGCATATTTCATTGTTGATCATATTATGGATAATGAAATTGAGCCTGAATGTACGCACCAAACTTGGCAGTCATCCCAAAGATGGATTTAGACCAATTCCTTGCAAAAAAAATGATTGAAGATACAAATATTGTGTTATAAAGCATCAGATTGTCAAAGGAGACAAATGTGTGGTTTGCTTTACCTGATGTGGATATATCCTGATTTCAATGATCAATTATAGCTTGCTGTAAAAGTTCCATCTAGAGTAGTCCAAATGGTCTATACTGTAGTGACCCACCTTGGTGGGATTGTGAGAGCCACCAGCTTACCACCAGGCTTACTGATTTGGTTAGAGACCTACCAATGCTAGTATCTGGCTTGAGAGGAGGGTAGAGCAGAGCTGACCAGTTACTTCACCCCTGTGGTCTGGTAGGCAGGGAATGACCAGAGATGTACCTGGTATATTGACTAGTGGTAGGGCTTGAGGTGGCCAGAGCCTTCAGGCTGCTTATCTCTAACCATTCTCCTCCATTAGCTGAGCTAGAGCCCCAGGGGAGCACTATATTTAGCATAAAGTAAAATCTTGCAATGGATAATGTTGAGCGTTAACGGAAAGATACACATGACAGAGAAGTACATTTTCCCTTTCCTTTCCTTTCCCCTTCCCTTCCTTTCCTTTTCCTTTCCCTTCCTTTCCTTTCCTTTCCTTTCCCCTTCCCTTCCTTTCCCTTCCCCTTCCTTCCCCCTCCTTCTTTGCCGTTTCCCCTTCCTTTCGCCTTCCTTTCCCCTTCCCTTCCTTCCTTTCCCCTTCCTTTCCCTTCCCTTCCCTTCCCTTCCCTTCCCTTCCCTTCTCTTCCCTTCCCTTCCTTTCCCCTACCCCTTCCCCTTCCCCTTCCCTTCCCTTCCCTTCCCTTCCCTTCCCTTCCCTTCCCTTCCCTTCCCTTTTTCTTTCCCCTTTCCCCTTTCCCTCTCCTGTTTGAGTTCGTGCTTTCATTTATTTGGGGTATAAACCTAGAAGTGAAATTGCTGGTTCATATGACAATACTATGTTTAACTTTTTGAGGAACCACCAAACTTTTCTATAGGGATGCACTATTTTACATTCCCAATAGTAATGCATAAGAGTTCTAATTTCTCCATATCCTCATCAACACTTCTTATTTTCCATTTTAAAATAATAGTCTTCCTAGTGGGTTTGCAGTGTTATCTCATTGTGGTTTTGATTTGCATTTCTCTAATGACTAGTAATGTGGAAAATCTTTTCATGTTTTTATTGACTATTCATAAATCTTCTTTGGAGAAATGTCTATTCAGTTTCTTTGCCATTTTAATTGAGTTATTTGGTTTTTAATTTTCGAGTTGCAGGAGTTATTTTATATTCAGGATACTAACGTGGTCATGTGTTTTTATTTTCTTTGGGTAGATATTTAGGGGTGGAATTTCTGGGCATTAATTGGATGTGCATTTAATTTTATGAGAAACTCCCAAATAATTATTCAAAGTGGCTATATCACTATGCAGTCCCACCAGGAATATATAAGACTTCAGTTGCTCTGCGTGCTTGTCAACAATTGATCTTGTCAGTCTTTTAATTTTAGCCCTTATGAGGGTGTGGAATGATATCTGACTGTGGTATTTAAGTTGCATTGCTCTGATGAGTAATCATATAGAGTACTTTTCACATTCTCAGTAGCCATTTTCTTGTCTTCTTTTATGAATATCTGTTCAAGCCCTTTGTCCACTTTTAATTTGGTTGTTTGTTTTTTCATTATCTGTAGGAATTCCTTTTATATTTCAACTATGAGTCCCTTGCTAGATAAATGCTTTACAATTATCTCCCGTTTCCTCACCCCAGTCTGTAGCTTGCCTTTTCATTTTTTTAAATATATATATATTTTTCTAGAGAGGATCTCACTGTGTCGCATAGGCTGGAGTGAAGTGGCACAATCACCCCTCACTTCAGCCTCGATCTCCCAGGCTTAAGCAATCTTCCTGCCTCAGCCTCCCAAGTAGCTGGGATTATAGGCACAGGCCACCACATAGCTACATTTTATTTTTTGTAGAGAGGGGGTCTCACTGTGTTGCTCAGGCTAGTCTCTAACTCCTGGGCTCAAGTGATCCTCCCACCTCAGCCTCCCAAAGTGCTGAGATTATGCTTGCGAGCCACCACGTGCAGCCTATTTATTTTCTGATTCATGTCTTTAATGAAATGTTTATCAATTCAAATTTATTAATTTTTATCTTATAGTTAGTGCTTTTTGCATTCTGTGTAAGAAATGTTTGCCCATCCCAAGGTCACAAAGATTTTTCTCCATGTTTTCTTCTAGGATATTTATGTTTCTAGCCTTTATATTTACATCCTTGAGAAATGTTAAATTAGTTTCTGGGTATGAAGATAGGCAGAAATAGAGGTTCTTTTTTCACTATCTTTCTGTAAGGATATCCGTTATTGCAGCACCATTTGTTAAAATGACTTTTCCCCTTGATTTGTCTTGGCACCATGGATTGAATTGGATTGACTATGCATTTGTGGGCCCCTTCTGGAAATTCTTTCCTATTCCGTTCATCCATTTGTCTACCCTTACACCAATACCACTTTATCTTGAGTAGCTCATGTTTTTAAGCAGTAAGGCCAAGTTTTGAAAATATTCACGAGGCACCTACATGTTCCCGACTCTTTATATATGTTCCCTATGAACATCATATGAGGTAGGTACTGTTTCCTATCTTCAAATCCCCATCACATCACAGTCCCAGAATATAAGACAAGTTGAATAGGTCACATTCAAGCACTAGCCTGTGTTGTTACAAATCCCATAATTTTGCTGCCTCTCCAGAAATTAAGTACATATGCCTTTGCAGGGCATTTAAGTGCCACCTAAATGATCCCATCATATTGCCCCAGTTACATGTTTTAATGGTTTCTTTTTTTATTATTTACCTTCAGCCAACTCACACCTTGTCTTAATGGTTTCTTACAGGTACTCAGTGTTTTTAACAAATCAGGTATCTCTTGCAGGTTTCTGAATATGTCTGGCCCTTCTCTGCACATGTGCCTTGGTGGCATGATTCTTTGCACACCATCTATATTCCTTATATCCAGCTAACATGTATATTTCCATCTCAAAAAATCTTCCCGAGAAGCTATTGCAGAGCCCCACAATCAGATGTGATGCCTCTGCTTTGCAGTTCTTAAACACCACTTTATAGCTCTGATGGCACTCACGCTATTCTGCCTTATATATATATTGTTTTCTATATTTGTGCCTGGTTTTGCCCACTAGGAAGAAAACTCCTTGCTGGAAGTATATTCATTGTCTTTGTAGCTATTGAATACGCATTTCAACAAATCCGAGTGAAAGAAGTTTTTTGAGACAGCTACATAATTTCGTGATCAAAGTTAAAGAAAGTTTAAAAAAAGTGAACAGGTTAACCTAGCATGTGATCCAGGAAAATCCCAAAGTCTATTCTCTCAATTTAATCCCTACAAATATTTTTTCCCCAAATCAGATCTTTCCAGTTGGAAGACTCTCAGGACTGCAGCAGAGATTTTGTGGAGATCCGTGAAGGAAATGCCACGGGTCACTTGGTGGGACGATACTGTGGAAACTCCTTCCCTCTCAATTATTCTTCCATCACTGGACATACCCTGTGGGTCAGATTTATCTCAGATGGTTCTGGCAGCGGCACGGGCTTCCAGGCCACATTTATGAAGAGTAAGTTGTTTCTATTTTAGTGATAGCTTACAAAATATGTCTTACAAACTACAAATAATAATTTTCTCAGTAATACATTAAGCAAGAACAATCCTAAACTCTCCACTATTTTCCTACATTGTCTTTGTGAATTACCTTATAACATATTAGAAAAACTAAATTATATATGAATGGCTCAATAAGGGCAAGGGAGAGCACTCTCAAGGGTTCTATTGTTCTTTTTAAGCTCTAATTTCTACCTAATGTTAAATTAGTTTTTTTCATGATATTGTGGTAGAGTCTTGTAATATATTATAGTTTGGGTTTGGTGTATTTATATCAAGTGTGTTTCATTTGATTTCATAAACTCTATATTCTTCACATTTAAGACATTTAGTATTACTTTGGGATTGGCTTAAGTGCTCAAATATAATAATAGGGTATTCTTCTAATAGTGTAAAATGTTAAATATTTTTATTCTGTAGCTCAACTTTTCCATTATTGGCTATTTCATATGTGATTTCAAACTATGAGTTTTTCTTGTAAATTTTTTAAATGTTCCATTCTTTTGAAAAACAAAGTAAAATAGATAAACCATAATTAGAGAGTGGGGCTGCTCACCCCACCTTCCATGTCCCCAAGTTCCCTAGGGTTCTGGGAACCCCTTTTCACTTGGGAAGTTGTGGCCTCTTTTCACACCATGCAACGTTTTAAGGACCTTTTCTAAGGAAGTAATAGATAGCCCAGAAACCAAAAAGGAAGCAATATTTCTTTCAATAGTCAGAAAAGAAATCACAGTCAATTAAAAGTCCATGCTTTTCAACACCCTTTGCCTTTTGTTTTTATCATTTGATTAAAGAGCAATTCTAAGTGGGTCTGATTTACTACTCTGTCTTCTCTCCTAGTATTTGGCAATGATAATATTGTGGGAACTCATGGGAAAGTTGCCTCTCCTTTCTGGCCTGAAAACTACCCACATAACTCCAATTACCAATGGACAGTAAATGTGAATGCATCTCACGTTGTCCATGGCCGAATCTTGGAGATGGACATAGAAGAAATACAAAGCTGCTATTATGACAAATTAAGGGTGAGTTTCCACATGCGATCAATGTTCATAAATATTGGTGAATTGCTATTGGTAAAAATACATCCAAGGTAACGTCTATTCAAGCATTTGCAAATCATGTGGGATAGTCTGCTCTAAATCATGATTAGAGCAGACTGCCTCTAGATTACATGGACAAGGGCAGTTTCAGTATTGTATTGATTATTTTCCATTTCATATCTAAGGGGTTTTTTAGGATTATTATTATTTTCCTGTTGAGCTTTCTCTAAGAATGCATGTATATCCTAAATAAGTATTTATTCTGTCTTCTTCCCACTGTCCTCTTTGTTTTTATGTTAGAGTATTAAAAGTTTTAAGGATCATACAAAAATAAATATAAATAGGAAAATCATGGTGATCATTGCTATCCAGACACTGGCTACTGTATCAATTCCAGAAACACAATCAGATTCTTACAGGGTATGACTCTACCTTATTCATCTTGGATTCTTGGTCATGAATCCAACCCAGTACCTGCTGGATATCCAATGTGTATGGGAATGGCTATTACATAATTTGTTTGGTAGAGGATTTTATAATAACTGTTAATATGAATTTGTCCTGAGCTATTTAAAAATTATCACAAAATATACCTCGAAATAGGTCATTTGAGATTTTAAAACCAAAAGCAGGAGATTTATTAAGTGCTTTGAACATGTGAGCCCTGCAAGTTTTGGTTATTTTGTTGTCATGAATTCTTCTTTCTTTCTGTGGAAATATGGACTCCTTTAGGGTACCTGTTCACTTTCTCTCGGTAAAGCTTTTCTCTTCTTGTTATTTTCCCTTCTTTCCTCCTAATTCCTCCCTTTAAAGCCCCAAAGCACATTTATTAAGTACTGTTGTTAGGCAGCCATCCTGGTTCCTATTTTTCCATCCACAGATTTTACTGTAAATCATCTTATGAGTGATTCTCACAGCGCATGTTTATTAATATAATTCTGCAACAAAGATGCAAATGTTTTCAAAACATTAAATTACCTTCAATAATATTTTATATTCTCTGGCGGTATCTGTTTTAAGCTAAAATAAAATGTTTACTCATTTGTCATTTTTTTGGGTTATAACATTGTAATAATATAAGGCATCTTTTTTTTTTTTTTTTTTGAGACGGAGTCTTGCTCTGTGCCCAGACTAGAGTGCAGTGGCCGGATCTCAGCTCACTGCAAGCTCCGCCTCCTGAGTTCACACCATTCTCCTGCCTCAGCCTCCCAAGTAGCTGGGACTACAGGCGCCCGCCACCATGCCCGGCTCATTTTTTGTGTTTTTAGTAGAGATGGGGTTTCACCATGTTAGCCAGGATGGTCTCCATCTCCTGACCTCGTGATCCGCCCATCTCAGCCTCCCAAAGTGCTGGGATTACAGGCTTGAGCCACCGCGCCCGGCCAAGGCATATTTTTTATTTTATCTTTTTATGAAGAAAAATATAGATGATTGCCTAAATACAATGCTCTATTATCTGTTTTTATGTGCAGATCTATGATGGGCCTAGCATTCACGCCCGCCTAATTGGAGCTTACTGTGGTACCCAGACTGAATCTTTCAGCTCCACTGGAAATTCTTTGACATTTCATTTTTACTCCGACTCTTCAATCTCAGGGAAGGGATTCCTTCTGGAATGGTTTGCTGTGGATGCACCTGATGGTGTTTTACCTACCATTGCTCCAGGTGTGTTTGCTAATAAATGAAGTTCTTTTTAGGACTGATATGTGCAGGCCACTGTTTCAAAGGGTCCTATCATAACAGGGGCCAGATATAAAAAATAAGAAGTACAGCCCCAAAGCCCTTCCACCTTATGTTCAGATGTTATTTTAAATTCATAAACACTACCTTTTGTAAAAATTATACATTTCTTTCTAAAAAATGCAGGCTTCCCATTACATTGTTTATATTATAATAATTAGGGGCTTGATATCCATAAGATCGTCTACTTACAATTTCTAGAGACCACTTTAGAAATCCCTGAAAATTTGATTTGCAGATACTACATATGTACATTCACACACACACACACACACACACACACACACACACAATCAGTTAGTTAAGGATCAACTCGTCAAAGTAACTGTTTTTCCTCTGCATTTTATTTCAAATGTACTTTCAGAAATGCTTCAGTTTCTCCTTAGCTGGTTGTAAATTTTCATGTTTCAAAGTAAAATGGGCCTAATTTTAAACTTTTATTTTACTGTTTTACATTCCTAATCTCCTCAGTGAAAGTAATATTGAGGTAGCATTGTTTGGGGAAACATTTTTTCTTGAAAATTATTTAAATGAGGCTGGGCATGGTGGCTCGCACCTGTAATCCCAGCACTTTGGCAGGCCGAAGTCAACAGATCACTTGTGGTCAGAAGATCAAGACTAGCCTGGCCAACATGGCAAAACCCCATCTCTACTAAAAATACAAAAATTAGCTGGGCGTGGTGGAGTGCATCTGTAGCCTCAGCTACTTGGGAGGCTGAGACATGAGAATTGCTTGAACCAGGAGGCAGAGATTGTAGTGATCCGAGAACATGCCACTGCACTCCAGCCCGGGTGACAGAGTGAGACTCTGTCTCGAAAAGAAAAGAAAAGAAATGAAATTTATGTAAATGAATTTGAGTGTTTCTTATGGATTTGAGGATTGACATAGAAGAAATTCATCAGATATTTCCTGGAGGATAGTCTAAGTCCTTGAATACTTGATTGGAACACAGAATCAGAGTATCTCATTGAAGAATATTCAAACTCTGAACTTGTTCTATGACTTAAAAGATTAGCCTGTTTTCTTCTAACTTCTTCTATCGGCAGAATAATGAAGATAATTTGTACTTATATTTATTTAATGTCCCTTAGTATTCCATTCTGAAATGTTGTTCTTACCTCTCTAATAAGGTGCTTTCATGATATTGAATACAAATCTCTTCCTTAAAATATTGATCTGTTTAAAAGCAAAGAACCATCAGCAAGATTGACAAATGCAATTTAGAGGCAACATTTAATTCTGGATGGATATATCCAGACCTCTTAGAAATAAACTTGAGTTAAGCTTTCTTTCATATTTACAAACCTCAAGGTAGGAAAGGAATTACTTACTTGTGTAAAATATTATACCAACAAATTTTCTTCTAATATTTTATTATGAAATTCTATAATTATATGATGTAAGTGGACAGGTGAGTAAGAGAGCCATAAACCTTATTTTCCTTAGTCAAGAAGAAAAAGGAAAAAGGAAAGTAAGAGGTCAAGAGAATTTTAGAGTTTACTAATTATCTAGATGCTATAAGTGATTATCTTGTAATGATGCCACACTGTGAAAGTTTCATTAAAAATTTAAAAACCTTAATATTTTGAAATATATCAACTTATTGAGCATTGTCCTATCAGCATTTCTTTTTTTTTTTTTTTTTTTTTTGAGATGGAGTCTCACTCTGTCGCCCAGGCTGGAGTGCAGTGACCTGATCTCAACTCACTGCAAGCTCCGCCTTCCAGGTTCATGCCATTCTCCTGCCTCCGCTTCTGGAGTAGGTGATACTACAGGTGCCCACTACCATGCCCGGTTAATTTTTTGTATTTTTAGTAGAGACGGGGTTTCACTGTGTTAGCCAGGATAGTCTCGATCTCCTGACCTCGTGATCCGCCCGCCTGGGCCTCCCAAAGTGCTGGAGTTACAGGCATGAGCCACGGCGTCTGGCCTGTCCTATCAGCATTTCCTATACACACATATATTTAATTTAAATCAACACATATTTATTGAGAATTTATTATGGATACACTGAGGAGACTAAGAAAGGAAACTGAGATACAATCTCTGCTCTCCAGGAACTTCAAAGTAATGGGAACCAGGCATAATGACTCGTGCCTGTAATCCCAGCTCTTTGGGAGGCTAAGGCAGGAAGCTTGCTTGAAGCCCAGGAGTTTGAGAGCTGCCTGGGCAACAGAGGGAGAATCCATCTCTACAAAAGATTTAAAAAGTTAGGTAGGCATGGTGGTACATGCCTGTAGTCCCAGATATCCAGGAGGCAGAGGCGGGGGAATTGCCTGAGCCTAGAAGTTCAACACTGCCCGTGAGCAGTGATCATGACACTGAACTCCAGTGAGACCCTGTCTTAAATCAATGAATAGTAAAAATAAATAATAAATAAAAGAGATTGGGAAAGAAAAAGCACTCGTGTCAGTTAAATAATGGTATCATAATTAAATGGGTAAATGACAAAGCAAGTGGTACCAATAGCAAATAAGCAAGGGAAGGAAAATGAGCTTACTGTGGACGAGGGTCAACTGAAGGAAATTCAATGTGTCAAGTAGGAAAAGCAGTTGGTGTATCAGTCAGGAAAAACTCAGCCATATGGCGGTAACAAAGAATTTCAAACTCTTAGGTGCTGAAAACAACGGGTCTCCTACATGCTCCTCTTGTGTTAACTGGGTGCCTCTCATCATCCATCACTTCCTAACTCAGGCTGTTGGAGCTCCCATTGTCTGCGACATTGCCTGAGACCATGGCAAGAGGCAAAAGAGCCCTTGGATGTCTCACTTTAAAAGTGCTCAGTGTAAAGTAACACATGCCTTTGCTCATAGTTCATTGACCAAAACTGGTCAAATGGCCTCTCCCAGCCGTTTGCAGAATGCAGTTCTACCATGTGTTTGGAAGTGGAGACAAAGGAAATATCTGGCAAACAGCACTAATGACCCACAGTCATTATAACCACATTTTATAAATTCAAGATAAGAAATATTTCACATAGAGGAAAACCTTAAAATTTGAAGATACTGGATAACATTCAGCATTCAGATTTTCCGTGTGAAATTGCTTTAAAAAAATCTGTAGCCTACATAGTAATAGGATAAAGAAATCAGGACCTAGTTCTACAATATTTTATATTCACTTCCTGTTGGCCTTGATAAGATGCAAACATATTATGGTATAAAAGTCATAAACTTCTGAAATAGCGAAGAATAGACTTCTGAAATCTATTCCTCCATAAAAGTGATGGCAAAAAAAAAATTGTTAAAATCAACTTTTTGAGAACTCTGGAAATAGACCAAAGCCTTACAACAATCTGAGGCATATGTATTCAAGAAAAATCACTGAATCTCAGTAAGAGTCGTTTTTCTGGCATTCTCTTCCTATTGCCATCTCTCCTTCCTCCTAGCTTTGTAGTAGCCTCATGACCACAGTAGCTGTGAAAATGAGCAGCTTTAATAGCCGTGGGTGGTGGGGCAGCAGAGGTCCAGGAAACAGCCCATATCCGCAGCACTGCCCTTATTCCAGTTTAGCGACTTACTGGAAAACTGCATTCTCAGGTCTTGTCTTCACAGGACCTGGGCAAGAACTCACTCTTCTGTAAACAGCCCTGTCCCTGGGGTCTTTGCTGAAAAAAATCAGCAACAGCTGTTTCACATCACAACCGTGTGAGGCAGTGACACCAGTTACAGCTAATGAGAAACTGACCAGGAAACTTGAAAGGAAAAAATGGGGAAGGAGATGTCCACTGGGGCTTTGAAAAGCTCTGACATGTTTCTGGAAATCTAGAAGGCCACACACATAAGCCCAGCTGTACACATGCCCAAAAACAGACCCTGAGAAGGCCCTAATCTGTCACCTCAAAGTTGACTAGATATAAATTACATAAGTAGCTACGCAAAAATGATAAAGAAACATGAGAAACACAGGAATGAACACAGTTCTACCTCAGTAATACAGGGGGTCCTCTACATGTCTTTATTGATGCCTGAATAGTCAGCACTCAATGTTAAATGGGTTATATAGCAAAATTATGGTGAAAATGGAGAACACAATGCATTTTTTTTTTTTAACATCAAAGATCAATTACGGAAATTGCGGCTCTCCGAATCAGTGGGTTAAATACGATATTCATTGATTTCTCTGAGAAATGGTTTCAACTGGTTGCTTCTTTTCAGTAGAGGGCTGTCACTTTCAGGTGAAAAAGTGCTAGCATCTTTTCCATTAGGGCTGTGTCAAAGATGTTGCTTTCTATTCTACAGGTGCTTGTGGTGGCTTCCTGAGGACAGGAGATGCACCCGTGTTTCTCTTCTCCCCGGGCTGGCCTGACAGTTACAGTAATAGAATGGACTGTACGTGGCTCATCCAGGCTCCCGACTCTACTGTGGAACTCAACATCCTTTCCCTGGACATTGAATCTCACCGAACGTGTGCCTATGATAGCCTTGTGATACGAGACGGTGAGAACATTATAAAGAATGCTGAGTTTCAACCCTGACACGTATTTAGTTCTAGTCCATTATCATCTTACTTGCTTACTGCCTCCATCTGTTTGGTTTGGAATTACACAGATATTATGGTCAAGGAAGGTATCAGTACCAGAATTGGCTACAACTCCTGAAGGACATAGGAAAGTATTAAATTACCTGTCGCAAAATGTCAGGAATAGCACATTTCTATAAGGAAAAAAAGGCTTTTTTAGAGGCCTAAGAAGGAAAGAATAGTCTGAATGTCAACATTGTTCACCTCTCCTATTGAGGTGCCTCTGAGATAAATATTGATATTTTATATTTCTGGCTTTAAGATCCAAGTGGAAAAAACACTTGTAATGTGACTGGACACAGTGGCTCACACCGTAATCCCAGCACTTTGGGAGGTCGAGGCAGAAGGATCACTTGAGTCCAGGAGTTCAAGACTAGCCTGGGCAGCAGAATGAGACCCTGTCTCTAAAATAATAGTAAGAAGAATATAAAATAGTAATATATTCATTTCTCATTGTCCCCTGAATCTGGGTCAAACAGGTAGAATTAAGGGGTGATATTGTTGTATTCTTTCCTCTGTACACAGGCATGGTGTTGTTATGTGACATAAAGTTAGAGACATAAATATTGCTGATGTATGCCTTATACAAAATTGGGCTTCACAATTTGCATGGACTGGAATGAAGGAGGACAGCAGAAAGGCCACATCCTCCACATCAGTATTTCTCAGTGTGGCCCCCAGATCTACAGCGTCATTTGTTAGATGTGCACATTCTCAGCAAAAAGAAACGTGTTTGCCTTTGCCCCACAGGTTGCTAGTGTGCAAGATCTTGTCTCCCTTATCCCTGATCCCTGGACACTTGCTGAGTGAGAAAAAATCGAATGGCGGAGGTGCTTTATGTCCCTTCTGTAGAGGCAGGACACTAAGTAGAGAGTCAAGTCAATCATACACACACTGTGAGATGTCAAAGCATGACTCTCCCCCATCTTCCCATCAGCAATCGACTATCAGCACGTTGCACAGAGAAGCATCAAAGCACCAGAACGCTCTCTTCCCATCTAAGCCTTCCTGTGCATATTGAAATTTAAAACTTTTCATGTAATGGAAAGGATGTGTGTCCTTGCACACATAATTCTAGTGTTCAGAACCTACTAGAAGCTTTAAAAAATATTTTTAAAAAATCTTCAGTAGGTAACTGCATCAGTGAAGTAAATTGTGGTTATCCTTTTAAAATCACATTCCATTGAGTTGTTTTTGCTCCATCACTAACTTCTCTTGGAAGCCGGGAGCCTGGGGAGCAGTCCTGTTTTCCTGTATGACTTTGCACAGGTCACTAAGTGGCTCCAAACCCGTTCTATCTGTGAGATAGACAAATACCTCCCTCACAGGCTTTTTCTGAGGATTAAGGAAAGTAATAAATGCAATCTTTTAGCAAAAGTACAAGCATTTTGTAGATGATGAATTTGGAATAGTTCAGATTTCAGTTTACTTAGATGGAAATTTCTGAGAGAGGTTTAATCAATGTCCTTGCTCAGGCATAGGGTGGCTTGAAAGAGCAAAAGAAACTAAGGTGCATGCCAAAACAACACAAATATTTTAAATTGGTTGTGCGGCCTGTCCATATGGATTCCTTTTTATGCACTGGCGATGTGAGTAGATGCTCAATAAGGTTCCTTCCTTCCTCATTTGTTTAATTATTTATTCAAGAAATAGTTATTGAGTGCCTAGTCAGTTGGTGGGTATTATAGTTATTTACACATTGTTAATATATTTTTATGACTAAATTTTAAATCCCACTTCAATTATTTGTTCTTTGCCCAGCCAGCCTTTTGCTTCTGAGTAGCAGAAGCATGTCACATTCTGAAGCAAATATCTAAAGCCAACTGGCCACAGACAAAGGTACTTATGTGCTATTCCTGCTCATGCAATTGGCCCGTCATCGCAGGCCTTTGGCTGTGTGGAGGCTGTGAACCTTTCTGGGCTACCCCAGAGAGAGTCATGCAGCATTCTTGGGAGAACCGAGTCACTGTCTCACCTCCTTATTCATTTCATAGAGTTGCCATGGTTTGAATGAATCAGTTTCTTCCAGACCACATACCTACCAATTCTGCAACCAAAGATTCCTCCAAACTGGATTCTGTGATACTACATTGGTCCCAGAAAAACTTTTAAATAGAAAAGAAATTGTATAAAAAAATCAGTAATCCTTTAATCTAGTTCCAGATCTTAAGCATACTTTCTTCATGACCTTAGATAAATCATTTAATAGCATGGTTTGGGGGCATCTGAGGTTAATCTGCAAAGGTTAACATCACTGTTAACTTCTATGCTCTATGCCTTTGCATACAGCAAAGTGTCTTGTATCTCCTGTTAAGATTCAGTTCCTCATATACAAAATGGAGATAAAAATAAATGCCTACCTAATAGTGTCACTGTGAAGACAAAATCAGATAGTACGTGTGAAGCACTTAAAGGGGTATATAGTAATTGCTCAATAAATGTCAATCTTGAATAATCTTGGGGCCTCAGTTTCTATATCTGTAAAATGAGGAGATTGGAATAGAGAAAGAATTCCCAAGTTGCCTTCTAGTGCTAGCCTTTACCGTTCTTTGACTTGCCCTCCTCTTTAAAGATTAGGCTCAATCTTTATGCAATCTATATGTTGAGGTTTTTGAAGGCTCCAGAAATACCCCAGTACTCAGTATGAAGACTGAAGGGGTTGGGGATGGGGCATGTAACAAACCATCTGTGATTTTTGGGTTATCTTCTCACTAATGAGTAGGCTAATCAACAAGCAGTTATTTTGAGATAAGCATCGTTTCACCAGATGATCTGGAGTGAATTTTAGAAAAGAAATAAAAATCAGTAGATTCAACTCAGTTTCATCCAGTGATAAAATATACACGTGAACTAATGACATATAATAAACTTCAAAATTTTGTAGTACAGGTAATCAGAGAATAAGTCAACAAAAAATAATATTGGGTGAAATGTATAGCAAAATAGCATGATGAAGTGCACTTACTATAAATGCAAAGGAAGTTTAAGAGGTACACTTTTGAACTGTAAAGAATGCAAAAGTTTCCAGAGATCAGAAACCCTCCAAAGAATGCCATTTCGAGCATTTTGTATTTATAACTCTGCCGTTACATTTGTAATCACAAGAATAGAAAATAACTTATTTTCTAAAGTAGTTAATAATGAGTGAGTTTCAAGTCATGGTCAGTGCCATGAAGAATCCATGTTGCTGGTTGTATAAAAGGGCATATTTGCTCTTGTCTCATATTCTATTTTTGTTTTTTATAAACTTGAAATTTATTAATTCTCTGCCTTAGGACAAAAGAAAAAGAAAAACAACATATTTTCCCAGCCAAGGAATCCAAGTCTGCTATAATCCCCTTTGTCCATTTTGGTTTCAGCTGGCACAGGGGCTTTGATCAAAGCTTATATCCAAGATAATCAAGATGAAAGGAGACATGAGGTGCCCCTGCTGTCCTTTTTGTCTCTATGGGGGTGGGGCACACTTGCTGGAACTCTTCTCTCACCCTCCACACAAGTGTGTGGTTGTTTTTATGCCAAAACAAACAAAAGCAATGAACAAACACAAATGAAGTTTTGTTTAAAAAAACCCACCAGCGCTGAAGAAAGGGCATATAAAACTGCACACCTTTTGGTGAATGATATTGTAACATTCGTGTAGGATCTGAGGTCAAAAAACCAACTTTTTTTTTTGTTTACCTACTTGACCTTCAGCAATCAGAATAACTGAGGTCAGAGTCTCTAATCAACACACATATCATCACTGCACCTCCATCACTTCCCAATCCCATATACTCTGATTTCGAGTTTTAGTGACAGGGAGAACTGGCAGCCACTTTTTAGAACGACAGTGGAAACTGTCGAAGAAGTCTTTATCAAAAAGGGTAAAGAACCCAGCATTTTGGGAGGCTGAGGAGGGTGGATCACTTGAGATGAGGAGTTGGAGACCAGCCTGGCCAACATGGTAACACCCCCGCCTCTCCTAAAAGTACAATAATTAGCCAAAAGTGGTGGTGTGCCCCTATAAAACCAGCTACTCAGGAGGCTGAGGCAGGAGAATCGCTTGAACCCGGGAGGCAGAGGTTGCCTTAAGCCGAGATTGTGCCCTTGCACTCCAGCCTGGGCAACAGAAGAAGACTTCATCTCAAAAAAAAAAAAAAAAAACTAAAAAAAAAAAAAAAAAAAAAAAAAAAAAAAAAAAAAGGAGGTGGGGTGGGGGTAAAGAGAAGGGCAGGAAGCACCATTGCAAGCTGGAGCCAGAATGATATAGCCCCTGAGGGGTCCTTCTTTTTGAGAATCCCCTTATCTCCTATGAATCCTGATGTTCTGAGAAAAATGTGTGAGCTGCTTTGTCTAAGCAGCAAACGATTGTAGAGTAGGTTCTCAAGACTGTGTTTTCACGTTGTTGCCTTTCTTTCAATGTAGGAGACAATAACTTGGCCCAGCAGCTAGCAGTTCTCTGTGGCAGAGAGATCCCTGGGCCCATTCGGTCTACTGGAGAGCACATGTTCATCCGCTTCACCTCGGACTCCAGTGTAACCAGGGCAGGCTTCAATGCATCCTTTCACAAGAGTAATGAGTTCAAATATTTTTTTTAATCCCATGTTATCTCATCTCCTCTCTTTTCCTCTCTCTTTCTCTCTTCCTAATACAATTTTTTTTGGGCGCCAGGACACAAAACAAGTCAGAGGACATGGGTCTCTGCCCAGGCTCTGGATGGCTGGCCCCCCTTACGTCAATGCTGAGTCCTGATCCAAAGCACTGGGGCCAAGTCGTACAAAAGTGTGCTGCCTTCAGGTCTCTGGGTGGGGCATCTTCACTGCAAAGGAGGTGTGTTCAGGGAATGCATGAGAGAGAGCTTTAGAGCAATTTTTCAGCCTAGCTGAGAGCTGGAACTAGATAGAGTACAGCCCACATTCATAACTCATTGAAGGAGCAAAACGTCATCATTTATCCTCATAAATTACTTGGTTGAAGTCATCCATTTGAGGGTTGGCAGGAAGAGTTTGTTGCTCTTGAAATATGAATTTGATGAGTCAAAAGCGGGCACCATGTATGGGATGCCATCATGCACAGTATGATTGAGACTTTTCAAACTTGACATGTGAAGTCCAGTAACAGCCTTAAATCCAAACTAAATGAAAGGTAATAAAGTAGTCCATGGAAGAGTGAAAGACTCTCATGTTTTTAATCGAAAAAATAATTTTAAAGTAGATTCTCAATCTAACATTAAAAATTAATCTAGTATCTCCTCCTTGCTTATATATCCCTTTTATAAAGTTGGGAGCAACTGAAGATAAATTGTGTTCCTCATGCTCAAGGGAGGCAGGCTGCATAGTGGCGTAAGAGCATGGGCTTTGGAATTAGACCTAAGATACATTTTCGCCTCTACAATTTAACTAGCTGTGTGAGCTGTCTACCCTTCCTTGCTGATAAGCTTCTAGTCCCTGACAACTGGAGATTTAATGCCTGCTCCTTTCATTCTCTTCCTTCATCTCCTGCCCTCTCATTCTCATGTATATATTAATATGTATTGCAATTCATTATACAGACATACATGTATGCGTATGTATATATACATACTTGACATATATATATATACTCATACTTGGCAACTCCTGGTCTAGAATATATTTCAAATTTAACCTGTGAATGGTATAATAGACTTTGGAGACTCAGAAGCGGGGAAGATGGGTGGGGTATGAGGGATAAAAACTACGTATTGGGTGTAATGTATACTAGTCAGGGAACCAGTGCACTAAAATCTCAGACTTCACCAGTATGCAATTCATGCATGTAACCAAAAACTACTTGTACCCCAAGTAGGTAGGTAGGTAGATAGATAGATAGATAGATAGATAGATAGATGATAGATAGATAAGAAAAAAATTTCACCTTTGAAAGCTGAACACTTTATTCCCACCCTTTTCGACGCCACCACCCCCCAATTCTACACTCTTCACAATCTTAGCAAATGGAAAGTACATTTTTCTCATTAAGTCAAAAATCTTTATGTTATTTTTGACTTTTCTGTTTGTCTCACACTTAACAATCAACAAATCACACTGGTTCTACCCTAACAATGTATCTAGATTCCAACCATGTCTCTCCATTTCTGTTGCTACCAGCCTAGCCCACACACCTATCATCTCTCCTTGGCCTCAGGCAGTCCCCTCCTTATTGGACACTCTGCTCCTGCCCTTCCCTGCCCTCCAACCCTTACAGTCTGAGGACTGCACAGAGAGTGATATTTTCAAACTTAAGTGAGATCATGCCATTCCGATGCCCAAAACCCTTCAGTATCTTCCTCTTCTTACTCAGAGTAAGTCTTTTCAGTTTTCTGCATGACCTAGCCATGCTACCTTTGGAATCTCTCATTCTGCCTCATCCATTCTGACTTCCATCATGTACCTCTAACACATGATACCTTTACACTAACTGAACTGGAATGTTTTCTCTCCCATAACCATCTGGCTTGATCCTTCATTTCATTCATGTCTCTGCGAAGATGTTACTCCAATGATATGGCTTTTGTAACTTAACTCTAACAATAAAGTACCCTTCTCCCTCCTCTCATCCATTTTTCTTTATAGAATTTATCACCATCTCACATATTATGTATTTGTTTATTGTATGTCTTTATGAAAGCAGATAATTTGTCTCGATTACTTACCTCTATATCCCAGATCTCAACGACCACCACAAACTGAGTAGCCAATAGCACGTGCTCAATTACATGCTTGTTATAATAATCATTTCCTACACTCTGGCTTTATTTTCAAGCATTTTTATTGCCTACACTTTGAAAACCCCCCAAGAAAACTAAGAAAGCATAAAATTCCAGTTACCAATGCTATTTAAATAACCTACCTTTGTTTCTTTGTGGGAAGGCTGTGGTGGATATTTGCATGCAGACAGAGGGATCATCACGTCCCCCAAGTATCCGGAGACTTACCCAGCCAACCTCAACTGTTCTTGGCACGTCCTGGTCCAAAGTGGCCTGACCATTGCTGTCCATTTTGAACAGCCTTTCCAGATTCCAAATGGAGATTCTTCTTGCAACCAGGGGGATTACTTGGTGGTAGGTCTTGCTTGCTACCCTTTCTAATTACATTTTCCGTATACTTCATTCAGAAAACAAAATGATAATTTTTCTCTCCTGGGACATACATGGATAAGAATTACGTACTCCTCCTTTTGCAATGTAAAGGAGTTGATGCAATTTTAATTTGTCTTTCCAGCTGAGAAATGGTCCTGATATCTATTCTCCACCCTTGGGATCCCCTGGAGGAAATGGTCATTTTTGTGGCAGTCGTGCTTCATCAACTCTGTTCACCTCAGATAATCAAATGTTTGTTCAGTTTATTTCTGATCCTAGTAATGAAGGGCAAGGATTTAAGATCAAATATGAGGCAAAGAGTTTAGGTAAGTATTTTCACTGAGAATTATATCTACTTTTCCTGCAATTGCTTGATCTTCATTGATTAAACAAGTTTGAGAAAAAACATAAAGTTTTCTTTTCTGAACTAACAGTAATAGAATTCATAAGAATGCCTACTCTCAAGTACTTATTGTATTTGTTACATTCAATATCTCATCGTGACTACTTTTCAAGTAAAGCATCATTATTTCCATTTTAAAAATAAGTAAAATGAGGCTTGTACTTTTCTGAGGCCACAAATCTAATTAGTGATCAAAGTAAAATTTTCCATGAGTATAAGATAAACTATTCTTCTTGATCCCTGAAATTCCTTAGACCTTTCCATTATAAGATGTCTAACTGTAAGTTAATTCTAGTTATAGAAACATTGTAAGAATTACAGTTGCCTTATTTTGTAATAATTTGTGTGCTGTTTTAAAGAACACATAATCTTTTGATTCTATTATTACCGATTTAATTACATATTACATGAGATCCTTAATTGCTTGTACTAAATTACACTTGATTATAATTGCATTTAATTCTACTGTAATGATTTGATTCTGGTGACATTTACTTTTTAGTAATGTTTAATTGAATAAATAAATAAATAAGTAGGCATCACTTTTTAAAAAGGGGAATAATGTCAGTAGAAAGTAATATAATAATAAATTTTTGCTTTGTCCCACCAGAAGTTAGATAATATAGATTTCAAAATTATCCTGTGACTTGAATCCCAGATTCCTCTCTCTCTATATATATATATATGTATATATGTATGTATAAATGAAATCATATGTTTTATTGCACATTGTATGAGATTTAAAGTCAATATCATTTCTTCATTTTGGTAAAATAAATGAGTAAGAGTGTTTACGAACTGACACACAGAAATAATCAAATAGCTGGAGTAAGGTCCAAAACACCAGGGAAGGGGCTTTGGTCACTTCCCAGTGCACAGAGCTCTGGCACAAGGAGGGAGCTTTAATGCAGCTCGGTGGGCACCTGCACCATTGCTTTCTAAGCTGCGATCTTCTCATCCCTCCCTCTATCGATGCTGAGCTTTGCAGCTGAGTCATGAATGGGCAATTTTCACTTGGTAGCAAAGCATTTCAAGAGTAGCAGTGTCTTGAGTCTAGTGAGTAGGTGTCAGCCCATCTTATACAACTCTACTTTTCTGTTTTTGTTTATTATAGACTCAGTCTTTTTTTTCTTTCTTAAGACAAGGTCTCTCTCTGTCTCCCAGGCTGGAGTACAGCAGCACGATTTCAGCTCACTGCAACCTCCGCCTCTCAGGCTCAAGTGATTCTCCTGACCCAGCCTCCCTAGTAGCTGGGATTACAGGCATGCACCACCACGCCCAGCTAATTTTTGTATTTTTGGTAAAGATGAGATTTCACCATGTTGCCTAGGCTGGTCTTGAACTCCTGAGCTCAGGTGAGCCACTTGCCTTGGCCTCCAAAGTGCTAAGATTACTGGAGTGAGCCACCGTCCCCAACCAATAGACTCAGTCTTGATTTGTATTTTTAAAGTCAACATTTAGTGGTAATTCAGATACACTAAGTGATACACTAAGGGTGTATTTGACATTGCACCTCTTCTGTTCCTTTGTGGATTCACTGTTCATGCAGTATGGTTATGGCCATTACTTCCTCCCTGTCTTTCTTAAAGCTTATTATGACTGCTGTTAACATTAGACTTAAAAGTCTGAATTTCACAACCTCTTGTTGGCAACCTGAAACAACAGCATCACTCTTAGTTCTCTCTACTTAACCAACTCAACCATGTTCCATAACTATAGCCATCCTCCTACTTCCCACATCTATCTGGCTATCTTCCCACCATATCTACTTCCATGCCACTCCCATTTCTCAGCCTTTAACCTAGGTCCTTTTGTGAACATTTTTTGACATCAAATCACCTAGTTTTATACCATTTTTCTCAAGAGACGCTCCTTCGCTATGGTTGATTGAGATTTCTAGGACCCTGTGGTAGATGCCTTTTATTCTCACCTGATTAATAGGCCTATTGATTAATTAATCAAACATTTACAAGGTGTTTCACATCATGCAAACCACCAAGTTCTGCCAAGGAGTTCACAGTATGGTAGAGGAGACAGACAAGCAAAGGCACAATTAGAACATGATACAGGGCTAGGCATGGTGGTTCATGCCTGTAATCCCAGCACTTTGAGAAACCAAGGCAGGAAGATCACTTGAGCTTAGGAGTTTTAGACCAGCCTGTGCAACATAGAAAGACCTTCTCTCTACCAAAAAAGTTTTCACAGTAGCTGAACATGGTGGTGCACTTCTGTGGTTTCAGCTACTCAGTAAGCTGAGTTGGGAGGATCACTTGAGCCCAGGAAGTTGAGGCTGCAGTGAGTCATGATCATACCACTGCACTCCAGCCTGGGTGACAAAGCAAGACCCTGTCTCAATGGGAAAAAAAAAAAAGAACATGGTATATGGTATAATAAGTGCGAGAAAGAGGAATGCACAGAATAGAAACACCTACTTCAGCCCAGGACATCAGAGAGGACTCCAGAGGAAGTAGATGAAGAGATTTGCCAATCAATGATAAAAAGATGTGAGTGCATAGAAAGTCTCAATGTTACAAGTCATATTCAGTAATTTGAAAGAATTCACTACTGCTGGAGAACAGAGTCAAAAAGAAGTAAACATAATAGTGATGAACCAGGCAGGAATCACTGTGTTCAGGGCCATGGACGCCACCCTAAGTTAGTTAAGATGTTAATCAAAAGGTAATGGGAGGCATTGGAAGATTCTGCTCCAAAGCCTGAACAGTGTGATCATATTACAAACACTAATGTAGCTGCAACACTGAAATCACTGGAGGCAGGAAAGACTAAGGAGAGAGAGACCAGATGAAAGAGTAATTTAGGGAAAAAAATTACACTCTGAACTAAGGCAATGGCAGTAAGAAGGTAGGAGAGAGGGCATATCAAAGATGTTATAAATATGGGATTGAGTGAATTTGGAGGTCAGTTGGATGTGAGGCAGGAAGGAAGGGATAGGAGGAGCCTTAGGAGCAGTTGTTAGGTTTTTGGCTGGGTGGATCCATTCATCCCGCAGACATTTATTAAGAACTTTCCATGGGACAGATACTGTATTAGGTCCCAGGGATATAGCAGTAAACAAACAAAATCCATGTCCTCATGAGGCCTAATTCTAGTGTTAAGATGCAGACAATAAATAATTAAAATATATAAGATGCCATATGGTGAAAAGTATCAAGGAGAAAAATAAGGCAGTAAGGTGGATACAGAGTGTCCTTGGGAAGAGGGCCGATGCTGTCATCAGCAGACTCAGGTATGGAACTCTGGTTGATGAGCAAATGAGAGTGTTCACTTGAGACGTGTTCAGTTTGAAATCTCTGAATTACCTCCATTGGAGATGCCCAGTAAGTGGCTGGAACATAAGTCTGGAGGTCAGAACAGGGGTCTAGACTGAATCTGTAAATACGGGAATAATCAACAGACTGCTTATCGTTTAAGTCATGAGGATGTAGGACAGCAATTGGGGGATTATTCAGAGTGAGATGAAAGGCCTACAGGAGGATTCCTGAGGGCCTCCAGCAATGTCAGGGAAGCCCTGGAGAGAGGCACCCAAGAGCCAGAGGAAGAATGATGCGAGGAGTAAAAGGAGGAGAAGAGCTTGGTGTCACAGAAGCCAAGGGACAAAAATATAAAGAAGGACAATGTGATCAACCGTGTTAAATGCTGTGGATATAAAGTAAGAACTTAAAAAGTTCTTTGGGCATATAACTGTGAGGTGACTTGGTAGAACATGAGAGCTTTCATAGGGTTGAAGAAGGAAGGGCAAAAAGAGAGAAAGAGAGAGACACAGAGACACAGAGAGAGAGAGAGAGAGATTAAATAGGGCAAGATCCTGGAGGTGACAATAGGATGGGAACTTGATCCAGAGATACAGGAAGATAATATACAGAGGGTAAAATAGAGCACAAAGATGTGGATGAATTTATTAAGGATAGTAACAAATGAAGGGTAACAAATGGAAGGGATTCTCCTCTGATTTCTTCTACTTTCTTTGTAAAGTGGAGCCTAATGTAATGTGCTTAGAATCAAGAGGAAATGGGGAAAGTCAAGGGTTTAGGGAATAAAGTTCCAAATGGCTGTTGTAGTTTATATGAAAAGTAATGGGTGAATTGCTCAGCGGTGTTGAGATGGGAGAACATATATTTGCAGGGGCATCAATTTCCATGAACAAATGGCTTGAATTGAACACAGCCACAGAGTTGGTATTTTGCAAGGGAAGTTTGAAGGAAAGCAAGGGAGTCGGAGCTCATCAAAGGGATTTGCAATTTAGAGTTTCAGAGATGGGGGAGTTGGAAGTATTGACAGAATTCAGGATGTGACTATAAGTGGATGAGTGACAGTGGACATAAATGTTGCTAGAGTTGAGCAGATCAAGTATGTGTACGGCTAAGTGATTGGACAGGTTAGTTTCATTGGCATTGTAAGTACTTTTACTCCTATCTGGTTTGTTTGTTGAAAATGCCAAAGAATATTTATTGATAATAGAAAAATATTTTGTGATAATGCTTTGGTTTTTTAGAACAGAAATATTAAAAAGCTCCTTTATCCTCTAGCATAACATGGCTAATAAATTGTCTCATGCCATTGATCTTGTTTCTCAAATGCATCTAAATCCTGAAGAAACATAATGAATGAATGCTCCTAGAGTTGTGCAAAGATATATCTGCTTAGTCTTTTAAATATACCAAGATCATAGCTCTGCATCATTCTGCTGCACTGAACACTCAGTGGGAAGCTGTAACTGCTAGCATACTTACATGCTTATCGAAGTGGGGGATATTTATTCATGCTTCTGTGATGTTCTGCCCCATGCACCCTGTGCCATAATCATTTGGTTGGCTTTAAGAAAGAATTAAATTTCCAATGAGAATAGATAGATGGTCTGGCAAATTAAAAAGTGTCACACCTGGTAGCTCCCTCGATAGCAAATTGAGAATTCGTTTGCTGGAAAAGAAAATGAGGATCATAATAAATGAAGGGAAATAGAGACAAAATACAGAGAAGTTGACTTTAAAAGATGATTTGTGGCCATTGGTTGCATCCCCTTCACCAGATCATAGACTGATTTAATTGTGTTTGCTGACAGCCTGTGGGGCCAATGTCTACATCCATGAAGCTGAGTCTGCTGGGTATGTGACCTCCCCCAACCACCCTGATAATTATCCCCCGCATGCTGATTGCATTTGGATCTTAGCGGCTCCACCGGAAACACGCATACAGCTGCAATTTGAAGATCAATTCGATATTGAAGTAACACCCAAGTATGTCACTTCCATTTTCATCTTTTTTCCTACCCAAAGTTAGTATTTTTTAACTGTCATGTCTCAGGGCAATTCATTTCTTTCAGTAGCACATACTGCAAGGAAATCTAGGGGAAAAGGGAAATGCTTAATAACTCAGGCCTGAAAACACAGTGTACCAGTCACTCTGCCATCAGCAGAGTGGGTTATGTACATGGATACTGTCCCTTGTGACCCTAGACACTTCCTGCAAGGGACACTGAGGGTGGCTACTTGAGATTGATGTTATCCATTCTTCCTCCCACAGGAAATATATCGTGTTTCTGATAGATGAATATTTATTTGCCTAGCCTCATATTCGGTGTCACAAATGATAAAACATCTGTTTAACAAATGGGAATTTGTGTGGTGTGTCACCAGGGGTCACCAGTGTTGGAACAGTACTAAAGCATGCACAGTATAATTTCTCAGTCTTTATTTAATAAGAGCTCTGAAAGGATTACAAAACAGAGAGTAAGTCTTACTATGTTGAAGAGAAAGAAAAACTATATAGATTGTAAAAAAAAAAATTTTTATCTTTCCTAGAACAAAAGCATGTGTACATTTGCATGAATGCAGCTGTGTTGCAAAACTTGGATATAAGAGCTTGTATTGCTATTTCTGGCACCGGGTCTAATACTACTCTTCCACTCATGGTGCATTAATTGGCTCATGTGACTTCCTGAAGAAACGTTAGATACATGCTTATCTACGTTTATGGACACAGAAAATTCCAGTTGGGACGCTCCATTAGTCCCAATTACAGAGCTGTTAGAGAATTTATCTTTGTCATGTGAAATGTATCAAATCATTATGTGGAACAAAATACTTGTTGTTTTTTGAAATTCATAGGGACTAATTTGAAAACAACGTTTATATTTGTAAAACCAATACAGAATATGGAAGGGAAGTGAATATTCTTGAATGTAGAACATGTAAAACCTGTCTTTTGACCTACTAATAAAAGAATGTGTTATTAGGAAAAATATCATACAGCAGTTTAAAGTGACGTGGCTTACACTGATTCTATCATAGTCTTTTATGCTAGGAAACGATGATTTAATAATATCTTCAAAGAAAGTAAGTGAGATTGTCATTATCAAAATAAGGCATTTGACCATGTAAATTTAACAGAATTTTGTTTCCACTTCAGCTGTACTTCCAACTACCTTGAGTTGCGGGATGGAGTGGATTCAGATGCACCAATACTTTCCAAATTTTGTGGGACATCTTTGCCCAGCAGTCAGTGGTCCTCAGGAGAGGTTATGTATTTGAGATTTCGATCTGACAACAGCCCCACACATGTGGGATTCAAGGCCAAGTATTTTATAGGTAATAATTTTTTTGAAACTTTTATTTTAGGTTCAGAGGTACATGTGCAGGTTTGTTATATAGGTAAATTCATGCTTGGAGGTTCGCTGTAGAGATTATTTCATCAGCCAGGTACTAAGCCTATAACCTAACAGTTATTTTTTCTGCTCTTCTCCCTTCTCCCATCCTCCACCCTATCAAATGAAAAAAACATTCCATGTTCATGGATAGGAAGAATCAATATTATTAAAATGGCCATACTCCTCCCCAAAATTTACAGATTCAATGCATGATGCCAATCCCCCCATCCCCTACCAATGACTTTCATTCCACAGAATCTGGAAAAAACTGCTTTAAAGTTCATTATGGAACCAAAAAAGAGCCGCATCTCCAAGACAATCCCCTAAGTCACAAAAACAAAGCTGGAGGCCATCACGCCTACCGACTTCCAAACTCATAACTACAAGGCTACAGTAACCAAAAGCACAATGGTACTGGGTACAAAACAGAGATATAGACCAACTGGACACGAACAGAGTCCTCAGAATAATACCACACCATCTGACAGCCCATCTATCTTTGACAAAACCTGAGAGAAACAAGAAATGGGCGAAGGATCCCCTATTAATAAATGGGCTGGAAAGAATTGGCTAGCCATGAAGTAGAAAAGCTGAAACAACTGGATCCTTTCCTTACTCTTAATACGAATAATTTTCAGTGGATTAAACTGTAAATGTTAGACTAATACCATAAAACCTAGAGGAAAACCTAGGTTACCTACCCATTCTCAGCGACATAGGCCATGGCAAAGACAATCATGGTCTAAACACCAAAAGCCAACAGCCAAGCCAAAGGCCAAATTGACAATGAGATCGCTCCACTTAAACTAAAGAGCTTTCTGCACAGCAAAAGAAACCCTACCAGCAGAGTGACACAGGCCAACCTAAGCAGAATGGGGAAGACAAATTTTGCAATCTAATTCAATCTGACAAAAGGCTTATATCCCCAGCAACCTACCAAACGAACTCCAAACAAATTTACAAGAAAAACAAACACACATCAAAAAGTGGGCAAAAGATAGAAGCAAGACATTTCTCAAAAGAAGCATTCATACAGCCAACAAGACACATGAAAAAATGTTCATCACACTCGGCCATCAACAGAGAAATGCAAATAAACCACAATGAAATACCATCTCACCACCAGTTAGAATGCGATCATTAAAAAGTCAGGAAACAACCAAGGTGCGGAAGAGGATTGACGGAATAGGAACACTTTTTACACTGTTGGTGGGATGTAAACTAGTTCAACCATTATGGAAAACAGTATGGCGATTCCTCAAGGATCAAGTAGATGTACCATAATGGACCCAGCCATCCCATTACTGGGTATATACCAAAGGGATTAAAAAATTATGGCTGCTCATAAAGACCACATGCCACGTAATGGTTATTGGCCAGCACTTTTCACAATACAAAGACTTTGGGGGGGGGAATCAACCCAAAGTCCATCATAGTGACAGAACTGGCATTAAGAAAAATGTGGCACAATACTACACCATGCGAAAACTATGCAGCCATAAGAAGGGATGAATTGTTATCCCTTTGTAAGGGACAATGGATGCAGCCTGGAAACATCATTCTTTAGCAAGACTATCACAAGACAGAAAACCAAACACACCGCAATGTGTCTCACTCATAGGTGGGAACCTGAAACATGAGAATCACTTGGACTCAGGAGGGGAAACATCCCAACACACCGGGGGCCTATCATGGGGAGGGGGGCGGCCACGGGGGGAGGGACTGCATTGGGATTATACCTGATGTAACAACGCTCTGGCTGCACGCACAGCCAACATGGCAAACAGATATACATATGTAAACAAACCTGCCAACGTTATGCACATGTACCTAACAGACCTTAAAGTATTAATAATAACTACATAAATTTAAAAAAAAAAAAAAAAAAAAAGAATGTCCATAATAAGTTTGATAGGAAATCCGCATTGAAAGTTCTGTAAGCGTAAAT